TATTTTTTTACGTGGGTAGAGGATGAGGTCATTGGTCTTGGCTATAACCTGTTCATTTGTCTATTGTCACGTAATATTTGAACTCATATGGTTAACATAGCATACGGTTTTTTAAAACATTTGCATTGCAACTTCAATCCTATATTCTTTAGTATCATTTGTCATCACAAATGCTTGCTTTATCTATATTAGTCTCGTTAACCTTTTACCCGTTAATAGACAGCTGTGGATCTGATACATTTCTTATCACGTTTATTGGGATACAATTCTATTAAACATTTGCTGGTCTCCTGTTCTTTACTATTCCGTTATTTACAAGGAGTCAATCTCACGTTCGGTCGTTGTTGTTTTGTGCCAATTTAATTTTATTCTATATTAATATGGAGTATTGAATAATTATAGGTATCAATGGCGAGCGTATTGTCCACTGAAATATTCCGTTCACCCTTATATAAGTCGGCGCGGCATGATATGTTACCAACCGTTATTTATTACAGGTGCGTTCTATATTTAAAAATATGAACTGCTATTACCGCCATTTTGCAGTGTATGTAAAGAAAGGTTATTTTGAAAAGGTTTGATGATAAAAGATGGCAATTTTAGGTTGTATTCAGTGTGAAAGCGTTTTATTTTTGTATATTGTTTTCCGTAATAAATTTCTAAAAGTGGACAGCGTTACATTAAAAAAAAATGTATGAAAATAGTAGCGAGCTTGGACCACGTGTTGTGGACCGTTCGGCTGGCAGCCGCGAGGGTAATCTGACTCATCAATTGACGGAGAGCGCGTAAAGAAATATCTCCGTTTATACACACGTTGAGATCGTTTGATAAGTACACAAATAATTTCGATTGTTTTTTCCAATGGCAATAACCTTAATAAATCGCGTCGATACACATTCTATATTGAACATTGCAGATTAAAAATAAAACTGAGAGCGACATGCGCATACGCACTTGCTCACCGGCACTCGACAGACTTGTTTAAAATAATATCTTCATTTAGACCGAATTCAATACGAAAATACATATAATTGATACGCTGGACACTTACTTTGGTTCGGATGTCGTATGTGGCAGTTATACCGTTAAAAATGCTTACGTCTAAACGGAAATAGTACTTTTCTTAGTACATTTATGCATGCCGTCGTCCAGTGCACCGTATAAGGAATCCTAGATGTCTACGCCGGCGTTTAGCTGTCTACTCTCCATTATTATTGTAATTGAGTGTTTGTATTCATAAAGCAAAAATAGACTTGAAACGTACCGTTCACTTACGTACTTTTTCTAGATATCTATGCTAATATTATAAAGAGGAAAACTTGTTTGTTAGTAATGAATAGGATTTTAATTTCTTTCACCGTTAGAAAGATCATTTCTTTTTTTAATTTTCACCCGGACGGAGTCGCGGGCAAAAGCTATTGTTTTATACACAAGAGATAGAAGTAACTGCGCTATACGCTGTCTATTGATAATTAGATCCTAAATGACGAAAAGATCTTTTATAGAAAATGAAAGTAGGCAAAAGGTTTTTCATAGGTTGACAACCAACACGACTTTTCTTTGCTAGATGGTGGAGAGTTGTGCGTTTCAGTAGCGTTTTTCTTTTCTTTCATAACCGCCAACTGTATAAATAACATTGAACTAAGTCTACTTCTGAGGTGGAGCAGTAGATTAATTTATAATTTAGCGTTGTAATATATTTTAAGATCAATTGATTTGTTCTGTTACTACTACTAAGCACCTAAAGTGAAACACATCTATACTATTATAATAAAGCGTAAACACACAATTCTTTGTTGCTTAAGATGTTAGCAATCACAGGATATTTTTGAATAATTCTCATTTTAATAAAAAGCCCTACACTTAGGTCACGCTTTAGGCTATGTATTTTCACGCCATTACACTTAGGGGGTAAATATTTTGGATAAAAACCCTAATGTGGGAAAGAGACCATAAGTTGCTGCAAATATCAAGGAAGCAAGATTGTCAAGGTTTGTCATATCATGTCATATTGACATTTGCAATTGACCATTTGACACATGTAAACAATAAAATAATTTTATGCTGATGAAATCGCACGGGAACAGCTAGTCTGCAATAATAACAGAATTACCCTATTAATAATTATGAAAAGGGTGAAATGTAAGCTTTCATGTTCTCTAAAATTTTATAGGAAAAATAAATTAGATGGATTAGTTAGCTGGATGTAACATTTAAACCTTGTTAAACTTGTTTTCGAAATAAAAATATTTAATATAAGATATGACATTTTTATTACAATGGATAGTATCTCTTGGCGATTTTTATAAATAGTTCGGGAAACCCAGAAGTCGGGATTCAAGGTTTGAGCGCAGACGGAAAGAGGTCAAGCGCGAGTTCGCTAGAGTTTTACCATTTTAAACAGCCCTGATATAACCAAATATAGGAAGACAAATCAATAAAAATCGATGAAACGAACAATAGCTTGGAGAATTTTTATAATACTTTAATAGATGTATGTTGTGTTTGATTAAAAAAAATAAGACTCCATTAGAAGTAATCAGCAATGTAGGGTTCTATTTAACTTATGAAGAGAATGAAAGTACTTTAAATTTCATAAGTTCATTTAGCCGGTAACTTTTTTCCTTAGTTTAAATTCGTTCGAGCCGGTTTCGAAAGCCTTCCTATAGCCGCCATTGACCGAAGAAGCCCTACACGTTTGAAGAGGGTAACGTGACTTCTGATGGGCGTTTTTAAACTGTACATTTTGATAAATCGATAGAAATATTAAGTTAAATGTGACCGGATAGTTTATAAGCAGAGCAGTGAAACTCATGACTTCCTTGGAGTTGATGATTGCATATCCTTGCATACTGACTGTTCTAGAAGGTTTATTTAACACTAGCTTTCGCCTGCGACTCATCCGCGTGAAATTAAAAAATAATATTAAAGTTAGCAGCCTATGTTACTCACTGACAACGTAGCTTTTTAATAGTGAAAGAGTTTTTACAATCGGCCCAGTAGTTTTTGAGTTATTTTATTACAATCAAACAAAGTTTTCGCAATCTGTTGAAGGTATTGGGAAAGGCCTAAGCCCAACAGTGGGCAGATAAAGGCTTGATGATGATGATGATGATGATGATGATGAAACAAAGTTTTTCTCTTTATTATATTGGTATACAAAATGTCTCTGTTCACTGGTATTTAGGTTATGAAGTTGGTACATAGATCCAGTAGTATAAAAAAGGGAATACCTTTATTTTTTAAACCCTTCGTGTTAAATTGAATTGAAGATTTCAATTTCAAGTCATACTTTTTAACTAAATCGATTTTAAAATCCACTAATAGAATATTTAAATCGTTAACCATTTAATTTTTACAATAAAAAAATATTCGAATGCATAGAATTTTTGTTTGATTTACGAGACATGTGTCGAATGAAATGAACGTGTTCTCTCGGACGGTTGCAACGCTGGTGAACGAATTTCGGCCGAGTTCATACGGCACAGGTGTGTACTCAGCCTTCGAATGTCGGTATTGGTATATAGTCGAGATGTTTTAATGCAATCAACAAGTATTGTTATTATATGAACTCTTCTTTTCTAAACTAATAGGACAGAAAGAGATGGTAATCTTGATATTTTTGGAAATTTCACCTTTATGTAATAGTTGTCAATCGATTTTAATATGGATATGGCCAATTATTTAGACCTCAGTGCTGATTACATATTGATTCATGAGTGAGAGAAATATCCGCATTGCGACTAAATGTTTTAATTATATTATTATGTTACCGTAATTACGAAATGAGTTCTCAGAATATTGAGCATTCAACCTTGCTTTTTACACCCATGTGCATGACACTTGTGTTAGGATGTATTTCGTTTACAAATGAAAACTTTTTCGTATTATAAAAGTTCACTAGATGCATATAGCTTTGCTTACGTAAAAGTAAATGACTTTGAAAGGCACCGCGATAGTATCGATAGTAAAACGATTGTCGAGGTTACACGAGGGCAATGTTCCGTACCTTCTATTCCTAGGTAGATGTTACCATAAGGCTGGGAATACATGCCAGTAAAATGGAATAATAGCTGGCATGCAAGTTACTCCTGCAATGCTTACACACATGACAGTAAAATGTTCACGAAACACACGAGACCGTAGTCCCATAAGCGGTCACGTGTATTTAGCTAACACGCGCCAGTAGCTTGTATGCAAGTGTACCTACTGGCATGTATAAGCCCGGTCTAAGTTTGTACTGTACTTCTTACCTTTGTCTTTGAAAATATTTGAGATTGATGTCTTTTTAAAACCATTCTGCATTGCAAAATCCACGTTTAAATGACCAGTTTACGTTAGTTTTATTTCTCTGGCTGCAGCTATAGAAATCTATAGAAACAGATTCATAGATGTTTCCCGCGGTAGATTTTTAGATTCAGGACCTAGTTGAAAATGTTCTTGAATATAATTCTAGTATGTAGTCTCTCCACGTTTAACAATTAAATGCGTCGGTACGCAGTCTGTTAAGGTAATTTACTATTCTTGAATATTAATTCTCTAGACTATTATTGTTTTACTATTAATGTATACGTGAAGTGGATACGGAAATCTGGTGACACCGATTGGGAAAGAAGGAGGACAAACAATGCAAATGATAAAAAATTAAATAAATACAGTAATTTAATGACTCAATACCAAATTTGTTGCACTTCACAAATGTATTTAACTAAAAATATATTTAACTGAGTTAAAATCCTAAATTTTAATATACCCGCGACTCCGTCCGCGTGGAATTAATAAAACCAAAAGTATCCGAAGTGTTCTTCCAGACTATCCTCTACATCTGTATTTAATTTCATCAAAATATGTTCAGCTGTTTAGGCTACAAACTCTAACTAACATCCATCCATATAAACTTTCTCATTTATTATATTAGTATAATTTAGTTGTTTGATAAAAAAAAGGTTAAAGGTAGCTTTTCATTGGTATTTTGTATTAAAAGTTGTTTGGTTGCGTAGGCATCGGCAAGTTGTCTGGCGAGGGCAAGCACCTCGCGGATCCCGAGGTGCTGCGGCGGCTGACGTCGTCGGTGTCGTGCGCGCTGGACGAGGCGGCGGCCGCGCTGACACGCATGCGCAGCGACCAGCCCCCCGCACACCACCGTCACCATCACCAGGATAAACCGTAAGTTACACACGCACACACACACATCGGCTAGTTTAAGCTGCTCACGGATTTTAATTTCCAACCCATCTATCGTTGAAATATTTGCACTATGCAATTAACGTCGATAACTTCTCAAGTATGTGATTGCTATAGCAATTTCAATTGTAACTAAGGTGGTTGTAGTTTGCTGTAATTAGTTTTCAAGTGAGAATCTAATTTCTCTGTAGTACCTACAGTGAATTAAATTTTTAAAAGTTGATAATTTAATTTAGTAGTAAACACTTCCTTAAATGAACGATCAATCAGAAATATGTGCATGTTGCACAATAAACAGTCCTTCAGTTGATTGCTAAACCGGTTTCTTCCCATGGATAACATCTCCAAGTAACGACTACAGTTTCCACGGTGGCAACGGATTAACAAACGCTACGTGATATGATACAAATTGTACAAATATAAATAAAAATACCATATACAAGATCGAATGAAATTTGAATCGAAAAATTAGCCGAAATAATTTCTGGAAATTAAGAGTAAACGAACACCGGAATAAACTAAAAAATCTGCCCTTAAGCTGTGATGCGTAATATAGCTTCGGATACATCTGGAACTTTCCACAGGACCCTAGCACATCACAACATATGACGTCACGCGACAAAAAACATTGTAGATACTGTCGGTTATGCGAATACGAAAATTTTGCTTATATTAAAAATAGCTAATTGTATGTCCGATGGTTTGAATTGGCAAATATTTTTAATTAGTACTTAATGATTTCGTTTTCTTTTTGTCACCGTGTTAATTGGTCCCATGTTCTCTCTCTCTTACTCTCTCCCTCTCTCGCTTTCTCTATTTGCCTCCTTGCGTCGATTCCTCATCAGTGAGGGTCGCAACTTTTTGTGATTTCCCGTAATTTTCATACACAATTGGTTCGCTATAATCATTTTAAAAATATAATGAACGTTGTTATTTTAATAATTATCTTTTATTGGTATGTTTGTCGAGCAATATATCAAATGCTGCGTACTTTGTGTGAATAAGTGCGGACTATCGGGCCCCCGAGTGCGTCGCAGCCGACTTAATGCATTGCGAACAAATAAACAACTGCATTGTTTTGGGTCATGCCAGGTACGTTCCATTTTTAATGGATAGGATCGTTTTATGGCGAGTAGGATATGATGGTAGATAAGAATGTTACTCTTAAATGACCATATCTGAAAGATCCTCAGGCATCTGTACGAAAGTTTATTGTTTCTATCTTTTCTGTATAGAGTAAAGAGGATGGAAATATATATTTTGTATCAATCCTACTAATATTGTAAATGAGAAAGTTTAGATGGATGAATAGATGTTTGTTAGAATTTGTAGCCTAAACTGCTGAACGAATTTCTATGAAATTTGGTAAAGCCGTAGAGGATAGTCTGGTAAAACACATAAGCTCTCCACTTTTGTTTTTTCTATTCCACGCGGACGTAATCGCGGGCAAAAGCTAATAAACAATCTAAATTCTCAGTAATGAAAGGTTACGTTTCATAACACACAAGCTAAGTATTTTATTTCGACGAACGGCGCTAACAAGTGAAATTATAACACTTTTTAATGATCACTTATGAGGCAATTGAAGGAAAATATTGCAATACCAATTGCATGTCTAGGATATATGAAAAAAAAAAATGAAAACTTGTTAGCAAAATTAATTGTAAAGATATTTAGATATAATTACTAGTAACCAATATATCGTACTAGCTTTCGCCCGCGATTGCGTCCTCGTGGGTTTATAAAAAACAAAAGTGAGTAGCCTATGTGTTCTTCCAGACTGTCCTGTACATCTACAACAAATTTCATCAAAACCAGTTTAGCTGTTTAGGCTACATACTCTAACATCCATCCATCCATCAAAACTTTCGCATTTATAATATAAGTAAGATTGAACAAATACAATCAAATTTTAAGGATACATCTAAAATTAGTGTAATTTAAGTTTTGTTAACATTGAAACTATTTGTATGTCTGTATGTATGTAACCTCGTGTTAAACAAAAGAGGTAAAATAAAAACATGAACAATAATTGTGTCAATGGTTTATTTATAGATGTACGACCTCGACATATTTCTCCATTAAGTAATAAACTTACACCATTTCACAAATACAGCGTTGTAACGAACTGGCAACCAGGAGTGCAACGAATAATGTAACTAAGTCCAATCAAACTTCATACTAATATTATAAATGCGAAAGTTTAGATGGATGGATGTTTGTTTGTTTGAGTTTGTAGCCTGAACGGCTGAATGGATTACGATGAAATTTGGCATAGACGTAGAGGATAGTCTGGAAGAACACATAGGCTCCTCAGATTTGTTTTTTTTACGCGGACAGAGTCGCGGGCGAAAGCTATTTAAAAATATAGTTTATAATGATTGAAAATTATACAGCATCGGTACTTTTGAAAATCATAAAATAGTATTCAACCATACCTCTAACCTACAATTATTTGCTGTCGTATTCAAATACGTCCAGTTATTATGTAATTAAGATAAAGCTATGAAAACTTTAATAAATTCCTAAGTCCGTTTATCTTCTATTTAATTTATTTTGTCTACAATATTATATTGCAATATTAGTTTGTGTTAACTGTCTTTAATAATCGTTGTAATAATTAATTAATTTTACTATGATACCATGCAATATTTTTATATGATGATATTCCGAGATTGAGTCGACGACG